TCAACCCTTCCATGAAATCACTCCTCAGTCATCGTCCAAACCATTGGGCAAAATTACGTTGCCTGTGACTTTCAGCCAAGCAAACAACTTCCGAACGGAACAGATCACCTTTGATGTCGCTGAATTCGATACAGCATACAGTGCCATCATTGGGAGAACTGCACTCGCAAAGTTCATGGCCGCATCTCACTATGCGTATCAAGTACTCAAGATGTCGGGACCGAAGGGAACAATCACTATTCAAGGGAATGCTAAGCTGGCAGTGCAATGCGACAAGTAGAGCCTCGACATGGTCAAGCACACGCCTAGCCCACCTGCCACAGCTGAACCACCCAAGAAAGTGAGCAAAACAAACAAGACGCCGAAACCGGACGGCACAATCAAGATCGTTCCACTCTCCAGTACCAACCCCGACAAGATCGTCAAGATCGGAGCATCACTAGGCGAGAAATAGGAACTCGCGCTCATCACCTTCCTCCGCGACAATGCTGACGTGTTCTCTTGGCAGCCGTCCGACATGCTGGGGGTACCCAGGGAGGTGATTGAGCACAAACTCATGGTGCGACCCGATGCCAAGCCAGTAAAGCAAAAACTGCGGAGATTTGCACCAGATCGAAAACAAGCCATACGAGAAGAACTCGACAAGCTTCTCAAAGCCGGTTTCATCAGAGAGGTACTCCATCCAGAGTGGCTAGCCAACCCAGTCATGGTGCGGAAGGCCAACGGGAAATGGAGAATGTGTGTCGATTTCACCGATCTCATCAAGGCGTGTCCCAAGGATCACTTCCCTCTTCCTCGAATAGATCAATTGGTGGACTCAATAGCCGGTTGTGAGTTGTTGAGCTTTCTCGACGCTTGCTCTGGCTACCACCAAATCAGCATGGCGAAAGAGGACGAGGAGAAGACAACAATCATCACGCCGTTCGGGGTATTCTGCTACGTTAAGATGCCATTCGGACTAATAACCGCAGGAAACACTTTCCAGCACATGGTCCAGGGCGCACTTAGCGACCAACTCAGAAACAATGTCGAGGCCTACGTCGACAACATTGTTGTCAAGACCAAGACAAGTGACTCATTGATTGACGATCTGCGGGAAACGTATAACAACCTCCGACGATATCGCCTCATGCTCAATCCAGAGAAGTGCACGTTCGGAGTACCATCGGGCAAGCTACTCGGCTTCCTCGTCTCTGGTAGAGGAATAGAAGCAAATCCCGAGAAGATCAAGGCAATCAAGAACATGAAGTCGCCTACAAGACTCAAGGAAGTACAGAAGTTAACCGGATGCATGGTGGCACTACGTAGGTTCGTCGCTAGGATGGGAGGGTGAGGACAACCTTTCTTCGCTCTGCTGAAAAAGCAAGACAAATTTTGATGGACACAGGAAGCCGAAGAGGCATTCATTGCACTCAAGTGCTACCTATCAAATCCACCTGTACTTGTTGCCCCCCAACCTAATGAAGAATTATTTCTCTATATTGCCGCCACGCCATATTTCGTTAGCACTGTCATTGTTGTCGAGAGAGAGAAGGTGCAACGACCAGTCTACTATGTCAGCGAAGCTCTCCACGACGCAAAGACAAGATATCCATAGATCCAAAAACTGCTTTGCGCGGTAATCATGACATCAAGAAAGCTATGCCACTACTTTCAAGCCCACAGGGTCACAGTTGTATCCTCCTTCCCTCTCGGTGAAGTAGTGAGAAACAAAGACGTTGTCGGCCGCATTGCGAAATGGGTAGTCGAGCTAAGCCAGTTTGATGTCCGCTTTGTGCCACGAACAGCCATCAAGTCCCAGGTACTTGCCGACTTCGTAGCCGATTGGACTATGCCTGATAACAGGTCAGACAACCAAATCGACAACGAAACGTGGACAATGGCGTTCGACGGCGCACTCAACAGCCAAGGAGCAGGGGCAGGATTCATCTTGACATCACCTTTGGGAGATCAATTCAAGCATGCAATTCACCTCAACTTTAGGGCGACCAATAACATAGCCGAGTACGAAGGACTACTCGCCAGGATAAGAGCTGCAGCTGCACTCGACTGATCGTGAAAGGGGATTCTGAACTAGTCGCGAACCAGGTGCATAAAGATTACAAGTGCTCTAGCCCCGAGTTATCCAGGTATCTCGCAGAAGTTAGGAAGTTGAAGAAAAGGTTCGATAGGATCGAGGTCCGACATGTATACCGCAAAGACAACATCGAACCAGATGATCTAGCACAGCATGCATCCAGACGAGAGCCATTCGAACCTGGCACCTTTCTGGACGTCCTGACCAGGCCATCAGTGAAAGAGGCAAGCGGCGAAGATAGCCCGGTCGCCCCCAACATCAGCTCGGGGGCTACAGAGGCAGAGCACGCCATTGCCGATCTCGAGACCACGGACGACTGGCGCACCCCACTCATTAAATTCATAGATAGCGAAGAGTTGCCCGAGGACGACGCAGAAGCCGAGAAAATATCCCGTAAAGCAAAAGTCTACTGTATGATCGGCAACGATCTATACAAGAAGGCACCAAACAGGGTACTCCTAAAATGCGTCTCGTCCGACGATGGCAGACACCTCCTCCTCGACATACATGAAGGGATCTGTGGGTCACATGCCGCCGGTCGGACATTAGTCAGAAAAGCTTTCCGACAAGGGTTTTTCTGGCCAACCGCCCTCAAAGACGCCTGTGACATGGTTCAGCGGTGTGAAGCCTGTCAATTCCACAGTAAACACACAAAGCTGCCAGCGCAAGCACTCTAGACTATCCCTCTCACTTGACCGTTCTCGTGCTGGGGGCTAGATATACTCGGGCCATTCCCACGAGGACAGGGTAGCTACAGGTTCCTATTCGTGGTGATCGACAAATTCACCAAGTGGATTGAAGCGACACCCACGGGGGAAATCAAGGCCGACAACACCATCAAATTCATCAAAGGAATATTCTGCAGATTCGGATTGCCCCACCGTATCATAACAGACAACGGCTCCTAGTTCATCAGTGCCGATTTCCAGGATTACTGCATCAGGCTGGGAGTCAAGATATGCTATGCCTCGGTTTCTCACCCTCAGAGCAATGAACAAGTCGAGAGAGCAAACGGCATAGTACTACAAGGAATCCAAGACCCGCGTCTACGACAGGCTCATGTCACACGACAAGAAGTGGGTCGAGGATCTTCCATCAGTACTATGGGCCGTGCGTACCACACCGACAACATCCAACAAGGAGACACCCTTCTTCCTCGTGTACGGCTCAGAGGCGATGCTCCCCACCGAGCTACAACATCAAAGTACACGAGTACAGAAGTATTCCGATGAGGATCAAGAGGAGCAGCGATACGATGATGTGAATCTACTCGAGGAACATCGCGAACGAGTTGCCGTTCGAGCAGCCAGCTACCAACAGGCCCTTCGCCGTTACCATGAGAAGCGCATCCGAGCACGCACGCTTTCGATCGGCGACTACGTCCTCCGACGGGTTCAAAGCCAAGCAGGGGGAAACAAGCTCTCACCCAAATGGGAAGGACCGTACACGATCACACAAGTTCTGCGGCCGGGCGCATTCAAAATTGCAGACGGCGATAGTCGCGAGTTGGCAAATTCCTAGAACATTGATCAATTACGTAAATTCTATGTATAAGTCAATAGTATCCATACTTGTAAGACATCTTACAACTTCAATAAAGCCTATTTTCAGGTACAGACTACAATCAAAGTGTTCCTTCCCGATGATCCCTTACCCAGATGACACCTAGCGTTGAAACCTATCCTCATGTCCCTTTACGCCGTCTTGACAAGGCCTCCGAGGAACCTAAGGGAACTTCGGCTGGGGACGCCCAGAGCCGATAAGGCCTTATCGGATCCTGTAGAGACGACAGACCATGTAAGATCTGGTCGTGTAAGAGTTCTCGCCGTGCGTATTAACCAAGTCGTGTAATCGGAAATAAATTTTGTAACTTCATGGCTGGGGGCTAGGATCAGTGCTTGTTCAACCGAGGCAGGTCAAAGGCTGGGGGCTAGGGAGAGTGTATAACTCAAACAACTAATCAAAGTCACGAAGTGAGAAGACACTCATACACGCTACATCCAGAGTAAGAAAGCTTAGTTAGATAGATTTCTTTTCTATTTTACAAGTACTTCTTACAGTTCCATAAAAATCCAAAATTATATTACACTTTTCCCCTAAGACATTTGTCATAGGACACGGAGACTACCAGGAAGGCCAACGCCAGTCCATAGACTGGAAGACCTTTTCCGCCAGCGGCGCCATCGACTTCGCTAGGCCATCTATCTCCGTAGGAGTTCTCCGAGAGCGAGAAAACCCTTCGTGGAGGAACTCGAGGTGCAGCTGCGGACGATGATCTCGTATACAAGCCAATACATGCCCCCCGGCATATCAGCTCGATCGACGACACTCCTGCTTCAGGGCCTCGTCGATATGCTGGCCGATGCCCTCGAGCTGGGCGCAGGCCCCATTCAGCCACGAGATGTATCCAGCCGCCGATTCCTCGGGATCCCCACGGGGTACTCGAAGCTCTCTAAAGACTCTTGACATGGAGGTACAGCAACTCTTCAGATACGAGTTGAACCACACCTCGCGACCACGGAGTGTCTCCACGGCCTAGTCCTTCCTCACTTCCAACATAGTCCTCTCGAGTTCCGCGACCTCAAACTTCGTCCTCCAATACTGGATGCGACGATCCTGGTCAGCAAGCGCACTCTCGAGGTCTACTTAGTATGGAAACGACTAAGTTAGACTGCTCTTCTCTTCCAAGAATACAGCGAATCAAGTCGATCCGGACGGAAGAGTAAAGTGGATGAAAACAAAGATAACCAACCTAAGGGAGCCGTTGCCATGCTCATCTCCACAGGCGAATTTTGAGCTACATCGCCCTCCGGCACATGTGGCTCGGACGCAAGTAACGGAACGACCACTGGCAACTCAGGCTGCCCGCGCTGCTGGACATCCTCGACATCAACATCTCTACAAATGACAACAAAGTACTCAAGATCAAAATACTGCACACACAAAGGTGGTTTGAACCAATAAGAGTTTTACAAAGCATGGCTAAAGAGTACAAGAGAGCTAAGATCCTACTCTTCAAAAAGCGGGAGGACGGACTCCCCCAGGTCGCCGACCTCCTCCATCACATCCTTGCGCGCATCGCTAGCCGCCCCCTGATCCAAGATCTTCCGCAGATCGAGTTCAGGATGCGCCAGCCTCACACACGCAAGGACATGGCACGCCCCGGTATAGATCCCGTTGGACGTCTCCTCTCCGACCATGGCCGCGTGCTTGGAGGGGATCACCTCCATCGCCGTTGCCAGTTCCGCAAGCGAAGACGACAACGAGAACTCGTTGGGATTCGTCGGGATGGTGGCCTTGACACCACACTACCCGGCGAGCTGGTGCATGCCGGTGTAGGTGACCTGCAGTGAGCCACGGATCTCTGACAAATGGTTCTCAAGCTCAGACATACGGTGCTTGAGCCCTTGCCGTTGTCGCTCATTGCCAGCCACCAGCTCCCGCATCTTATGGAGGTCCTCGCGAACCTCCGCTAAATCGCGCGCAAGCCGATCAGCACGCTCATTCGCCGACGACGCCGCCGCCGCCTTCACCTCCGTGATCTCGTGGCCAATGCCACGAGCACCAGCCTCGAGGAGGCACCCCATCTCGACCTGGAGCTCCTCCCAGGTGAGAACGGCAGCCGGCAGACCCCGACCAGCCGCAAGATCGCTAGCTAGGCCGTTAGGTGTCGCCTCGCGGCTCCTAGGCGCGACCACGACAGGAGACGCGTTGGAGGTCCCTCTAGACCCATCTTGCGCCGCCTTTGGCCGCGCCGCCCTGCGTAAAGCTGCAACTGAAACAGGCTGCAACAGTTTGACAAAGTGACAAGACCTCAAAGTCAACCACTTACTTCTCGCCAAGCGTCACTAGCCACTGCCGTCGTGGAGGTGTGGGAGATGCATCCGAGGCCTGGAGTACAACCGATATGATGTGAGGTAGAAGCTTTCCGACTACGCGATCAAAGGGCAGGAGAACTTACCGAGGGGGTGGACGTCTTCCGACGATGTCTGACCACAGAGGAGAATGTCCTCCCCTTTTTCGGAACGTTGCCGCCGCTCGTTATGGCAGCGGCAGCAGCAGCGTCAGACGCCTCCTTGGCGACTTTCTCCTTCAGCGACGCCGCCACCAGATGGTCCACAAGTGGCTCGATGATATCAGTCAGAGGGAGAGCCTACGCTTCATGAAGTCATAATGCGATCCCGGAAGAAAAATGCAAAAGGACCGCTGAGTACACTTACATTGATGGCAACGTCGTGCTCGGCTGCCCCTTTCTCGCAAAGGGGGACGGGGACGTTGCTCGCCGTTGTCGGGCCACTGATCATAAGTTGGCTGACGCGGCGCTCCTAGCCTGTAGATCGAGACCAGAATCCGATAAGCCGGGAGGAACACACGCATAAGGGAGTCAATTTAACTAAAAAGGAAAATACCCCGAGGAGAAACCCGGGTCGCGTCCTCTGGCCCAGAATAATCAAAGGCCGGATGGTCTCGAGCCTGAAGCGGCTGGATCCGCCTACCAATGAAGTCGGCAGCGACTTCATACCCCGACAACCCCTGTTCTCGGAGGTCGTCAACGATATCGATGAAAGATTGGAGGGATGGGGTCAAGGCGGGTTTGGTGGCCCAAGATGGAATCTTGTTTGGTTGCTCCTCAGGAACAACGAAGACCGGATCCGAATCCTCTATCTGAAGATAGAACCACCTCCCCCGCCATTTGCTGCGAGATGAGGGGCACTGGAAGGGGATGTATCGCGACTTCAGGCCATCCCAAAGTCGGAAACCAACACACCCGGACACCTTTTTGGGTTCCATCCAGCGTAACTCATAGTAAAAGCGGAAGAGGTCAAGAAACGGCTCTACCCCAATGTAGGCCTCACAAAGATGCGAAAAGATACTCAAGAAGGCGATGGAATTGGGGTTCAAGTGGAGCAAGAAAACACCGTAGAAATTCAAGACCAAGAGAAGAAATTCAGAAGGCGGAGGAAGAAAACCACAGAGAATAAAGTCCTCGATCGCAACCATGCGACCCAGGACAGGCTGGGGTTCAGTACCTCCCACTTCTCTCTCCGCGGTCCCGCGACCGGGAAGGGCGCCATCTTCCTGCAACTTCTTCAGCGACGCGCTGGTGGAGGTAGACTTGTCAAGATCCATTTCCGCCGGGGATCGCCGGAGAAAGGACCGAGATGAGCTAGCTAGGGTTTTTTGTGGGAGCAGAGAAGACGAGGGACGTTTGAAAGCTGGTGAGTTTTTTCACAACAAGCGGGCTTCAACTTGGATCCCCAAAACTCTCTTAAATAGACGCACCTCCGACGGTGCGAATTCTAAGGAAAGGAGAGAGATGGCCGCCGGAAATTTCTGGGTCCGTTACGCGCGGCAGTTTTTTGGACTTCAATTTAAATTCACTCATGACCGTTGAGCTTCACCCGGCGTTGTCGATCACTCCTTGTCTCTCGGTCCTTACACCGAGAACAACGACAACCTCGACATCAGAAGTCGCGATCAGTTTCACGAGTTCATTTAAGCAGAAGTCGGGGGCTACTGTTAGGGTTACGGGTAAGGTATACCCTCTACCCTTCGATATACGTCACATATCGATATGGTATACTTGCGCGTATACGGACGTTTTCGGCATAAGTTAAGGAAATTCATTATGGAAGTTCACAGATGGAAGGAATCCTACTCGGACAGAACTGGGTCGTTATTGTATCGTGCCGGGCCCGATGTCTCCGAGTCATACTTGGAGACCAGTTGACTTGCGATATAAAAGGGACCCCCCGGGAGGGCCTAAGGGATCGAATCTTACTGCCAACACATCCACCACAGCCTACGAAGCCGGAGCTTATCGGAGCCAAGTCGCCGGGAGATCTAGTCGAATCAACTCGACTACGATCTTGTCGGTATTGTCGAGTTCCACTATTCCCTTTGTAATCTGTGGTTTCCATCATATAATCCCATATCAACTGGATTAGGGCTATTACCTATCAAGGGGCCTGAACTAGTATAATCTTTGTTTTCTGCCTGCTTGATGTCATATTACGTAGATCCTCGTACTAGCGTACCCCAATACCCTCTTTATCCAGTCTACGGGTATCCCCCGTCGACACAAATCTCACTCTCCATTTGTCTATTTGGCCAACTCTCCATCTAATTTATCAAGTCTAACTTGATGTTTGCTCCAACAGCCTCTCCATTCACCCTCTCTACTCTGAATCTATGACAGTGGGACCCACATGTCAGCCTCTACAATCCTTTCTTCTTCCCCATATTCCTTCCTTTTCCCCATGCTTCATACTCTCATGAAGATCAACAGATGGTGATGGTGGACAACAGATTGCGATGGCGATGATGATGGAGATCACCGGCCTCCTCCTCCTCAACCGGCGTGCGTCGTCGAGCCTCTCTTGCTGTCGCGCCCTCCTTGCAGCACCAAACAGGAGCATTAGGACGGCCTCCACAGCGTCGTCGGACGAGGGAGGAGATGGCGGCGGGGGAGAGGCTGGAGGGGAGGTCGGAGGTGGATACAGTGAATCTCCAGTCACCGGAGTAGCGGGAGAGGGTCCTCACCTCGGTGCCCATGAAGTAGCGGGATTGAGAGGAGGCGCACAGCGGTGGCCCTCTTCACTGCTGGTCTCCCATCTTGTCGCCGGCGATGAAGCCGAGGCACTCCTTGCCGGCTGCGACGGCGAGCCTCCTTCCCGTGGCGGCGGTAGGCATGGGAGGAGGAAGGAGGGGCGTGGCAGCAATAGGCGGAGGAAGGGAGGGCACGGGCAGGGATGTGCGGATGGTGGAGAGATAGAAGGGAAAAAGATGGTGGGGCCCACAGATAGCTAGTTGCTGTGGATGGCCAACGGCTGGCCAAATTTAGCTAGCTTGACCCTATCTTTGGCCATTGCTATTTTTTGGCTAGGGGGATAGCCATTCTATTGGAGTGCATTTTTTTTGTCCAAAGTTGCTAAAATTTAGCTTGGAGAGTAGGATGGAGAGGTTGTTGGAGATGCTCTTAAGGGCATAACCACAACTCGATCATCAGATCAATACAACACCCGGTGGATTCAATCCTCGAAACAAGAGTACGGTATTAGTTTTCATCAAGAAGGCTTGAACCTGTATAAACGTTTGTTATTTTACTCATCCACTTTAGATCTCGTCCCCCTTTCTCATTGTTGATTTCTAGAATCAATAGTTGGCAAGCAAGGTAGGGGTTGCGTAGAGTTTTTCGCAAACAAGTGCAATCGGATTAATTCTGAGAGCCGGCGACTCCGCTTTCCATCCGGGCTAGGCATATCAATTCGGTGACATCGACTTCATCACCGATGACTTTGTCAAGATCTCTCTACTCGACTCGGATTTGAACCAATCAGGGAGGGACCCCATCTCTTTGGCCTCGTTCAGTGCCCCGAACACTGCCGAGATCTACTCAAGGATTCTCACCTCTGAGTTGGCTTCAAACCACTGAGGGAATCGTCATCATCAACAAATCTTCACAGCCTATCCAACAATGCAGCATCCCAAGAGTGCCATGCAACTCCCTCCGCTCCTCGCCATGACTTTCGGGATGATCAACCTCCTCTCCAAGGTCACGACCCGGCCAAGTCCCAAGTCCACCCGAGATCAGAACTAGGGAGGCGGGAATCATGATCGAATCACTTGGATAATATAGCATGTCATGCCCGGAAAATAGAACAATATATTCCGTTTGTGAGTGCATAAATCCTTGTCCAAGGAGGCAAGGTACACATTACAAAGTTGGTAAATAATAGAGTATATAAGCGAAAGCTTAAATAGAGTACTTTATTACATGGGCGACCAAAAGCCCAACAATGAAAGATAAACAGTAAAAAGCCAGAAGCTACGAGAGTCACCACAGGCGCTTGACGGCAGGCACGAGCTAGACATCAAAGCCATCATATCCGAAGTACTCCTCTGCTAGAAGGGGGGAAAAGAGCAAGGCTATGTACAACCACCGTACTCAGCAAGCCATGTCATGAAAATGCAGATATAATGCAAGGGAGTACAAAGAATTCATTTTTAAGGATTTTTTTTGCATAAAACTAGCATTTCAAAGCATTTAAATATTTAAAGGCATTTAAATAAAACACAAACCTATCTCTAGTCAAATTATTTTCAAGCCGCACACCAATGCGATCTTGCCTTAACTCGTGCCAACAACTGACAACTCCAATTACGCAATTAATAGAACTAAATTCTAACTTGGGTATATTGCAACACATCTTTCTCACATGTTGCCATGTGCCACATGCCACCACGGCATACGGACATAAGACATGACATAACCCACCTCTTAGTACCGCCCTAAACAAAGAAGACTGATATAGACTTCCCCCACCAGGTGCCCTGGGTCGAGCAGACAGTCTATGCCCCCTGGCGTACTGCCAGAGTCATCGACCCCACCAAGGGCTTCATCCATCCCTATCCGTGTCTTCCTTGTACATGACCGTACTAGATGATGCGTTAAGCCCTACCCATCAGACAGGTGGCTGTACAGCATATGCTTTGCAACGGAGGTTCGAAGACCTGTCCTAATGACGGCCAGGGTGCGACTAGCGAAACCAAGCACCCTGAGCCCAACCCAAAATATGTTTGGGGAATTTTGAAGGGGAACATCATGTCATGGATAAACAACCACTGAACCATATTTACCATTCTTTACAAGTTATTCCCAATTTGTAATTATTGGAAAACATCTAATTGTTTCTATTTAAGCAGCGCTAAGCATATTCCTAAATTTACTAGTAAGCACCACATATATAATGTTATGACTAGTTTTATTTTTCCTAGAGTTATCAAGGATCATAATAATACAAATAATAAGGCTATAACAAGGAGAATCTGTAGGGCTAAACAAAACAAAGATAAGCGTCGGAATTTAATAAAGCAAAATGCAATAATTTAGATAAACATAATTTTATAAATTGGGACAACAATATGATCAAAATGACATGATTTGCCTTGCTCACTACCAAAATCTTCTAGATCCACTTCAAGGTAGAGCGGCTCTTCCAGATATGCAGCATCTATACAATATATGCAACGAAAAAGGCCCAAAACATAAATAAAAACCATATAAGATGCAGTAATAACCCTAAAAATGGGTTCATCACTGTTTAAGGAAAACAATAGCAATATGAATAGATCGGTTCTGAATTCAAACAGTCAATATATGGTCATTTAAATTCTAGGTGTTGTTTGCTTGGCATTTTACTAATTTATGAATTAATTTTGTAAAGAAAAACTACTGTGTGTGCTTGCTGCCTGTAACAGCAGAGAGGGGGAAACAGTAGAGAGGGAGAGAGAGGTGTGTCAGGACATGGCAGCCGGCAACCCCGGCTATCGGTCATGGTGCAGCGGTGCGCGACACGAGAGATGCGAGGGCGGCGGCGAGGCTCACCCAAACGGCTGGAACGGTGAGGAAACAACGACGGCGATGAGGAAGAGGATGATGCCGGCTCGGGTTGACGTCGGGGATGGAGCTCCGAGGCTTGCCAAGCTCAATGAAGGCGTGGCCGAGGGATAGGAGGAGACGACGAAGCTAGCGGTGGCTTCGCCGGGACTTGGCGTCATCCCGACCGACGTCGAGCGGCGGCTGGAGTGCACGCTGGCGGCAGTACTTGAAGAGAAACGGCGATGGAGCGAGCGTGGCGCTGGAGCGGCACGTGCAATGGGAGGAGGTGGTCTCTGGGGTTCTAAATATGTAGGCAGGAGGGGAGGAGGTCGACCGTGAGGATGGCAAATGGCTCCAGTGGCAGTGAGTCTCCCAATTTAGTCCATCAGTTAAAGAATTCGATTGAGTGCGATTTAATACGAGATTGAATGGGATTTGTTAGGGGAATTGATGCCCGCTACACAAGAAATAGATTTGCAATTAATTTGGAGGCGGAACGATAGGGGAGGGAGATCAAAGGAGGCGGGAGTGTTGAGTTTCATGGGAGAGAGAGGAATAGCCTGGCTTGGAGGTAGGAGATGCTCCTGACGAGCGGGACCCATGACGGTGCGCGCGTGCATCGCATGTGCGGCGTGGCAGCGTCGCCTGCAGCAGGAGCAGTGGCTCGGCTGGGCCGGGGAGGGGGCGGCTGGGCCGGGCCGAGAAAGGATGGGAAAGAGAGGGAGGGGAGGAATTTAAGCCGAGGGGGAGAGGGGAGGAATTTGAGCCGAAAATGGCCCAAGAAGGGGGAGACGACTCCCGGTCGGGTGCCCGATCGGGAGGGGGTAAAATCGGACGCTGACGCCATCGACTTACGTGAAAAATTTCTTTAAACTAATTTTTCTCTTAAATTACTTATCTAAATCATGATATGATTGCACCATTAAATTTGTTGCAATTAAATCTTCAAAACAAGACCTCACATAGATATATTCTGACAAAAAAAATTTAGATTATTATTGAATTATTTTTAAATGTTGCACGATGTTCCACTAGGTATATCGGAATTGTTTCACTAAGTAGATCGAAAATGTTTCACACGTTTAAATCGGGTGTTGTTTCACCTTATATAAAAACAATGTTTCAGCAAATAGCGAAAGAATGTTTCAGTTCACTGCAATTTTAGGGTGATTTTCGGGTGCGACATAGCACCACGGAAGTTGTCAACAACTTTAGTTTTTTAGATGGCTACAACGACTTCGACATTGATAGTCTCAGTAGCTACAACGACTTCCGAATTTGAGCTTTAGTTTTTCTTCAAAGTCTTCATTGTCGGTGGCACCACAGAGAAAGACGAGCAAACCGGCATCACTAGGGAGCAAGAGGAAGCACGTGCCAAAGCTGAGGAGGAACGCTAGTGAAGGCAGCACGATCTGATTAGAAGCGGTCACATTGCACACAACATCATCCAAACCCGCATAGAAGACACTAATGTTTTCGCTACACCTCAATCTATACATAGTGAAACATTGTGAGTACACTAGGTGAAACATTTTTCAGTGGAACAAAACATAAACCAAATTCCCTTAATAGGGGCTTTCAAAATATGTGGGTTTCTTGTTGCAATGGAATGTTTCATTCACTACAACATTAGATCTATACATAGTGAAACATTGTGAGTACACTAGGTGAAACATTTTTGGTGGAACAAAAAATAAACCAAATTCCCTTAATAGAGATTTTCCAAAATATGTGGGTTTTTTTTTTGCAAAAGAATATTTTAATTCACTGCAACATTAGATCTATAAAGAGTGAAACATTGGAAGTACATTAGGTGAAATATCTTTTGTGGAAAAAGGGAGGGAGAAGTGGGTGGGCCCAACAGTACGCACGTGGGGGAGGGGCGCGCGGGGGGAGCGCCCGATCCGGCTCCCCCCGCGCCGGTCGCCCAACGTAATGTATTTTCGCAAGAAGGGCGACGAGATTTATTTTAGTTTTTCTTTTTTTAATAAAATCTGAGAAAGGTTATTGTTGCATTAAAATTATTTATTATGTAAAATTCAAGTAAAAGTTGTTTAAATATTTTGAAGCATGAGGAATTCAACAAAAATACCCACACATCAATTTGAGTTGAAACATGGTAATTTTTAATTGTTGAAGTTAAAGCCCACTAAGTCTAAAACTCAACATGCAACCATAACACATCATCACCCACTAGTAATAATTACATATTTAATCTCATGTAAGCATACAACATCATCTACAATTTATTTAATTTTACAAATCAAAATACAAGCATATCTAATCATCACCTCTCATATCATTTGCACAATATTTTAACAAATCTATCTATACTTATCAATATGTTTCACTCTAAAGCACGGGTTCCATTTGACTGATAAATCCTGATGTTTCATTATTTTTTTCTTTTTACTCCAAACTTGATTGACAAAAAAAAATTAAGAATTGTAATTCCCGCAGCAAAGCGTGGGGAATCACCTATTTTACATAAATAATTTAGACGATAAAATTTTAGGGTGATTTTCGGGCGCGACATAGCACCACGAAAGTTGTCAACAGCTTTAGTTTTTTAGATGGCTACAACGACTTCGACATTGATAGTCTCAGTAGCTACAACGACTTCCGAATTTGAGCTTTAGTTTTTCTTCGAAGTCTTCATTGTCGGTGGCACCACAGACAAAGACGAGCAAGCCGGCATCACGAGGGATCAAGAGGAAGCACGTGCCAAAGCTGAGGAGGAACGCTAGTGAAGGCAGCAGGATCTGATTAGAAGCGGTCACATTGCACACAACATCATCCAAACCCGCATAGAAGACAGTAATGTTTTCGCTACACCTCAATAGAACGCTGTGGTGGCCGTCACGTTGATTGACACCCACATCGACAAAGCTCCAGAAAACATGACTTTGATGTTGAATAAGGTCAAGACTATGATCGTCGCCACTGCAGCCCAACAAGAAAATGATGCCGGAGCTTCTCGCCGACCGAAAGAATCCAATGCTGACTCCCCCAGGACTCTGGTTGGCTGTCATTAGCCCTCGAATCATAGATCCAGGGGCCACATAAAACCTGAATATAGCAGAGGTCACACCGCTTCCATCTAGCATCACCAAGAAAACAGAGGTCGGCATCCAGATCAATCATGACAATGTCGAGCCATCACGACGACCGAGACCATGACGAAGGACACAGACGTTGAATACCCAAATACTTGAGGATTACGCTGAACCAACGTCATCACGATCGGGAAAATTGCTCTCACCGTAAGGATCAACTACGATGACAAAGGAATCCTAGCTTTTACTTGAGATCTGTATCGAGTGGATTGGCCGACTGGTTTCAAATCAAGAGGGATTGAAAAGTACGATGGCAAGACCGTCTAAACCCTGGCCATTTGTGCAGTAGGAGGAGACAACAAGGCACTGGCGAATTACCTACCTATGGCACTCGCTGATTCAACAAGGAGCTGGCTAATGGGGCTTCCAAGGCGATCCATTGATTCCTGAAGAGAGCTTTGAAGCTAGTTCATCGTCAACTTCCAAGGCACCTACGAGAGACGCAGTACTCACTTTGACCTATACCATGTTGTTCCAATATGTCTCTTTTGGACTACATCTGACATTTCTCGGAGGCCCGCAACAAGATCCCGAAGGTCACTGACGATGTTATCACCGCTACTTTCCAAAAAGGCATTCGAGACAAGTTACTTATTGGCAAGTTCAATCGCAAGCCTTCGTGAATAGTCATGAAGCTATTTGAGACTACCAACTCCTACGCCAAGGCAGTGGACACTGTCAATGCATCATAGGAGGAAAAGTAGTCGGGTAGCTATTGGCGCCCCTAGAAGAATAATAACTCAACAACCAGAAGGATCGCAAGCACAAACCTGAAGACTTGGTGGCCACAACATCTAATTAGCAATCACAACGTCGTCCCAACCACTGCGATAAGGTTATGAATGGGCAATGCCTAAATCACCCGAACTCAAAGCACAGGTGGCCAATGACTGCGACAAGCACAAAAAGCGCAACTCAAGATCACCAATGGCGAAGGAACTTCTGGGCAAAATAAAAACAACGGAGAAGGGCCTTCCAAGATCCCAGGACCGAGTGAAACCACATCTTCGGAGGCCCACCCGCCTACGAATCCAAAAGGAAGCAGAAGTCGACCGATAGGGAGATCAACACCATCTAGCCAGAAGTACCCCAATATTTATGGTGGTCCGAGGTAGCAATGATGTTCGACCGCTCGGATCATCTTGGCCGAGTGGCTCACCCGGAGTGGTACATCCTGGTACAAGATCTAGTGGTTCATAATGTTAAGTTGAAGCGTGTCCTCATCGACGGTGGCAGCGCGCTCAATATCCTGTTCACCAAGACACTGGATAAGATGCAGATTCCAAGATCCAAGATGAAGTCGAGTTCTGCTCCGTTTCATAGGGTTGTCCCTATGATATCCTCAATGCTACTCGGCCAGATCAGCCTTCCAGTCACCTTCGGACTCGGAATAATTTCCAGACAGAATATCTGCTTTGAAGTTGCTGATTTTGAGGCAGCTTATTATGCCATACTGGGAAGGCCAGCTCTAGCTAAGTTCGTTGTCGTCCCCTACTACACCTACTTGATGTTGAAGATGCCAAGTCAACAACGAGTTATCTCATTGCGTAGCGACGTCAAACAAGCCGTCACCTCCGACAAGGAGAGCTGCGAGATGACCCAATCTCATGGGAGGGCACTCGACCAGCAAGAGGTCTGACTCGTTGCATCAACATCACATGAAGGTGAATTGCCTGCCAAGAAGATACTGAAGTCAAGAGAAAGTGATGCCAAGACAAAGAAGATCCCACTTGATCAAGCCAATCCCTCCAAGACTACCATAATTGGTGCCGAGCTAAATTGTAAATAGGAAAACACACTCATCATCTTTCTTTAAGATAGTAAAGATATATTTGCTTGGAAACCTTCTGATATACTTGGTATTCCTAGAGAGGTGATTGAGCACTCATTAAATGTGAAGACTGACGCAAAGCATATCAAACAACGACTCCACCTATTCGCACAAGATCAAAGAGACGCTATGAAGAAAGAACAGAGTAAGCTTCTGGCAGCTAGATTCATCAAGGATGTTTACCATCCCAACTGGCTAGCTAACCCTGTTCTAGTTCTGAAGAAGATGGGACAATGGTGTATATGCATGAACTACACGGATCTCAACAAGTATTGCCTCCAAGATCCCTTTGGATTACCTCACATTGATCAAGTCGTCGATTCGACGGCCATCAGCGACCTTCTCAGCTTTCACGACTGCTATTTGGGATATCATCAAATCAGCATGAAAGAGTCTGACCGCTTGGAGACCTCGTTTATCACCCCGTTCGGAGAGTATTGTTACATCACAATGCCTTTCAGTCTGAAGAATGTTAGAGCCACTGTTAATATTTCTTAATGACATTACTAGAAATATAATTCCCAGCAATGGCGCTGAAGTATTCTCGGTATATTTATGGTTACAGATATAATCCGCAAGCGCATGGATATAGCATTGTAGCATTTCACCCAGAAGTAATCCAATGTATCGTATTTATTTAATCCAAGATATGACAAGAGAGTACCATGCTAATAATTTATATATTACTTGCATAAACCAAAGTGTAGGTAGGGGTTAATCAATTCATAGGTAGGATAAAGTTGACACACACAAGAAAGAACCAAGATACTCTCACTAAAACTATCTTATTAAGTCGTGCATTCGTACGACTATAACCTTAACCTCTCTTAAATATATTTACATATTGTTTATAGCAATAAGTTTAAATTTATAATAATAATTAACAATGTAAATAAGTGTGTGCACGACATACTTCATTTTACATAAAGTGTAGCTATAAAGCCCTTTATATCTATGCCGTAATATATGATAATATATTCTATTTTTATTTTTGTTTTTTTTCCAAAATCACAGGACACGGCAGCACATACATTTAAATAAGGGTTGTGCTGAAAGAGACGTGCATGAGCGTAAATTTTGATGAAAAGATAGTACATTGAAAGGAAAATTTTGATGGAAACAAAAGGGACATTAGAGGGCTCATGGTATTGCATTGTTCATTGATGAAAAAATTACAGATTTTACGGATGCTAAACTCAATAACTCAAGAATGTTCAGCTGAGAATACAAAATCATTCCAGTGAACCCTGCATGCATCCTCAAAAATCTTCTCTAGTTTACTCCTGTCAAATAATTGTAGAGAACATGCAAAGCGACACTTGTGGTTAGAAAAGCTCCGTACCATTGATTCAAAGCACAAAGACGTGTTAAAAATTCTTTAAACCAACATTGCAATAGTAACTTAAAAGCATGGACAGAAGAAAATTGAACCTCTACTATTTACGACAGATTGGAAGCTTGATAAAATAAAATTTGAACTTCTATTATTATGACAAATTGGAAGCGAGAAAAAAACATAAGGACCTGATATTTTAGCATTCTTAAAAGTTTATGAACTAAATGCTTATTAACAATATGGTTGTACTAACATGACTGAACAATTACAATCAAAATTATATATGCTAAAAATTCAATTACATGACTGAACATTTAGCAAGACCGTGTTGACCTAGTGTCCTGATTGACAACTCCAACGAAAGATTGGTGTGGTTAGAATTTGGTATGGGCATATGATTTAGGCGTTCTAAATCACATCCACCATTTGATTTAGTGCAGGTATTACCAATTACAAACAGCATGGATACAAATTAATAACACAGTAAAATAAACTTTCACAATGAATCAGTATCTACGGACTATGGTGCATACTCCCGATTTGGTGCTAGGGTGTGAGAGGACAGAAAGGAGCAGTACCAGAGAAGTTCAAATCTTGTCTTCGCAGGAGGTACGGCCACCGCCGCAGCCCTGCTGCCTGATCCTTGCCGGGACGGGGAGGAGACGGTGTTGAGGAGGAGAACAGAAGGCAGCGACAGTGAGGAAGAGGAGGATGCGGCGGCAGCGGCAGCAGTGGGGAAAAGAGATGGGAGGCGCCTGTGGTGGGGAAGGCGGTGACTTGGGAGAAAAGGTGGAGCAGGCAGAGGTACGGAAGCCAGCGATAGCCGCTTGTGCCAAGAAAGAGAAGAAGAGGCGGCGCTGACCGGATGCAGCATGAAAAGCAGCAAACGCAAGAGCATGCATTTTTTCGCTTCTTTTTATATAAGTTTGGGATGTGGATTGTGGAAGGACTTCTTTGTGAAAAGAAGATTATTGAAGAATTGTGAAGATATTTTGATGATTAGAGAATCTAACGGCTCACATCTTTTGTATTGGAAATCGGACGACTATGCTTATTCGAATGAAGTGGCACAGTAATTTTGTGAGAAATGACTCTCCTTTCACTTATTTAGATATAATCTAGGCTGAGTGGAGAAAGAATAAGGAAATAATCATTCCTGCACTTCTAGTATATAAACATCTTTAGTTTACACTTGCTAGTATACAATCATGCAACCAATACCTCCTTACAATGTCAACCTGGTGTTTCGAGAGATCACCCCTGATTGCCAAGTTCCTTACGACAACCCGTCATGGCGATCCGACCGGTAATGAATACGGAGGAGTTCCCATGCTAGAAAAGTCTCTTAGGATTATATACTAACATTGAGGAATACTCGTACTGAGCTGTCACCATCAGCGGCTCACCTCTACTGACCCGCAGCATATAACCCCAATTAATGGTATCTAATAATCTAAGCACCACGCTTACATTACTAAATACTACTTCATATCGCTGCAGCAGACATAGAGAAATCATTGAAATGAACATTAAACCCACACCATAGCATATCTCTGGTAAGCTAGTTACACAATTATATCAAGACAAGTAAGAACTAAAGTCGGTACTCGAATAATATGAATTAAGTAAAAGACCGAAAGTATATAAAGGAGAATATTTTATTAACATTATAAGTCTTAAAAAAGAAGGAAGAGCTACTAGAGCCATACCCGAAATCACATGAAGACTCGAGAACTAAGAGAACTACTCCATTCCTACTCCACTAGCACTAGAACAATAAACTAAAATTGAGAGAGCTTCTTGATCTTCTTCTTGAGTATGTGTTGGAGTGGAGTGAGCTATCCTCCATCTGTAGGCTGCCAATGACGGTTGTGACGGTTGGAATTATCCGAAATACCCTACAACCGTCGTTGGGGAGCAATCCTAGACATCCATGTGAAAGGGGGAGATCAACGGTGCGCCGAACCCTGGCCTGGCCCAATCAGCCCAGAATTTTGTAGCCGTGTCGTGTGATGACTCTTTGGTCTAGTAGTGTGGTGGTTGGGCCCATTTGATATTATTTTACTTGATTTGTAATCCCATCCACCCATAAGTCTACCTCTCGACGGAGTTCAATCGATTGTTCGGTTATTCTCCATCGATTCTCCTCCAATTATGTAAAGTTCTCTGCAACGAAATAAAATTCCAATTACAAGTGGAGATAGATTATTCTTAAACAAAATATGCATGCAAGCATAGCTAGTTCTCCTTTATTTTGGATATATTAACAGACGAAATGGCTTGATACCGACAGTCAATAGCCACGTACCAGCACATGATTCAGAAATGCTTGCAATCATAGCTTGGGCGCAATGTGGAGGCCTATGTCGATGATGTTGTCATCAAGATGAAGGAGAAGGATAACTTAATCGCTGACTTGGAGGAAACCTTTCAAAACATCCGGGTCTTCAGAATGAAATTAAACCCGGAGAATTGCTCCTTTGAAGTAGCATCAGGGAAGCTGTTTGATTTCATGGTGTCACACTGTGGCATCGAAGCCATCCCAGAGGAAATGAATGGTATGCAGAATATGAAGCCGCCAAGTACCTAGAAGGACATCCAAAAACACACCAGATGCCTGTCAGCTCTTAGTCGGTTTGTCTCTAGGCTTGGAGAATGAGGCATGCCCTTTTTCAATGGACACCTAAAGCCAAAACCTTTGAAGACTTCAAGAATTTTCTTATGACACCGCACATGCTAGCTTCACCATATCCACAAGAGCCCTTGCCACTTTATGTGTCAGCAACTTCGCATGTTGTCAGTGCAGTGTTGGATATTAAATGAGAAGGACACATCCAAAAGGTTCAGAGGCCCATTTATTTCATCAGTGATGTTTTGGCTGGCTCCAAGACACGCTATGCATAGGACCAGAAGCTATTACATGGAGTTCTGATCACAGTCCGGAAGTGGGCTAAGTACTTTCAAAGTCACTTGGATGCCATGGTTAGATCCTGTTGGCACGCGAAATTGATCCGCGCAACAACACGATACTGACCGTGCTTACGTGACGATCACCGGATGCTTTCCGAGCAAAGCAACAAAGATTCCTCGCTTTCGTGGAGGAAAACCGACCGTTTTCCTGCGCAAAATGGCAAAGATCCACCAAACCCTAGAGCTTGGCAGTAGAGAGAAAAAGCACGGGAAAGAGAAAACAGAAATAGATGAAAATCTAAATAAGTAGATTGATTTTGTTCGATTCTTTTTCTTCCAATCGGCCATGCACCTGATATATGTACAGGCGTGCTCCGGTCTTTAGTAGATGTATTTAGCCCACGTATATAGAAAGTACCAAGTAGCGATCAATTCTCTAAGCCGAATACAAAACAAACCAAATCAAACAATGCCTTATCTCAGCTGACATGCGTGCCACCTTGTATTCCCTTCCGTATAAGCTTCGGCGTCAAAACAACCAGCCTCATCTCTGCATGATCCA